AGTGCAATTCCAATTCATATGCTAGCAGGAATTGTGTTTGTGTATGTGTTGGTGTGTGTAAATAGACAAACTGATTTTAAAGTTTAAATGGAAACATGAAAGGCACAAAGCTAGCCAAAGTGATCTTGAAAAGGAACAAATTTGGTCCACTGAAATTTTCAGAAATCTATTTTCATTATAAAATTATAGTTATTAAGGCAGTATGGTATATGTGCTTGGACAGACACAGACAAATGAAACAAAATGGAACTCAGAATAGACCTACATAAATATAATTACTGCTTTGTGACAAAAAGGACATAGGAATGCAGTGTAGAAAGGATGCCTTTACAAAAAATGATGCTGGGACAATTCAATATACATAAGAAACAGTCTTTACCTATTTGGGTTATATATAGAACCTAATTCCAGATGTATTGTTGATAAATGTGTAAAGGCAAAGAAAAACCAAAACAAAGTGTGAAACATAAGTGAATATGTAGTCTAATAATTTTCTCTAAAAGTCAAAATTACCTAATATTTACGAATTGAATTTTGATAAAATAAAATATCAGATAAGACATTTAAAGGGTAGATTATGCAATAGGAGATTGTTTTCTCCACATAAATGTGGCAGAAGATACGTACTTAGATAAAGAATACATATAAATCAATAAGAAAATGACAGACTTTCGGACAGAAAAATTGACCTAATTCTTAAACAGAAACTTCCAAAGTGGATATACTAATGGCTTATAAATTTGTGAATCGATGCTCAACATCCCAAAATGCAGATTGAAAGCATAATTTGAAAACAACCGAACACCATGAGAATGGCAAAGAAGAAAAAATTGGTGAGGATGAGTCACTGTAGCTATTATGCACTGCTGTTGGTAGTGAAAATTGGCAGAAGAAGAGAAAAGTTGTGCTATTTTATTGTAAAGTTGAGCACATTCATAGCTGTGATCCAGAATTTCACTCTCGGGTATATATAAAACATAAAACATATTGTAATAGCAAAGAAAAGCAAACAGAGAAATAGCCCAAATATTCTTTTTCAGCAAAATGAAAAACAAATTGTGCTATAACAATAAAATAAAGTATGCTGCACAAAACAAAGTGGTTGAATTCAATAAACATTATTTTGAGGAAGATAACCTAGACCAAGAAAATTATAGTAAGTTGAAAAAATAAAACTATTATAAACTGTTAAAAGGCAAGATCACATTTCCCTTTATTGGTTAGTAGTCACTAAAAAGTGTGTTTTTGTTGCTCTTTTTTTTTTTCTTTTTTTGAGACAGTCTTGCTCTATCATCCAGGTTGAAGTGCAGTGGCTTGATGTCGGCTCACTCTAACCTCCGTCTCCCGGGTCAAAGTGATTCTCCTGCCTCAGCCTCCTGAGTAGGTGGGATTACAGGGACCCACCACCAAGCTTATTTAATTTTTTCTTTTTTTGTATTTTTGATAGAGACGGGATTTCGCTATGCTTCCCAGGCTGGTCTTGAACCCCTGGCCTCAAGTGATCCACCTGCCTTGGCCTCCCAAAGTGCTGGGATTACAGACATGAGCCATGGTGCCTGGCCTAGTTACGAAAAAGGAGTTTAAGGAATCGTCTCAAGACTTGATGACACTGTTCACATTGTTTTGGGGAAATGTTGTAGATTTCAATCTCTTCTAGAAGTGTATTCAACATATAACTGTAGACATATGTTAATTTTAAAGGTAAATAGTACATCTAAAAAGGAATATATTGGAAATTGCATTTTCAATGAAAAAGACATAGAAGAACAAAGTCTTGATAGTCTTTAAAATGAGAAGAGAGGAAATGCAAAACAAAACAATAAAACCTATGATACCTCAAAATATTAAAATATAATGATGTCAGAGTAAGAACATAACATTTCAGGAATGGACATAACTATTAAAAGGTTATATTTTCCTATTAAATGAGAGACACTTATGTTATAAAATATCCAGCTATATGCTGTTTACATTTCCGTATCTACAGCAATCGAAACACATAGGGAATTGTTTTGGGAATCTTTGAGCTGAGATTACTGATGTCAGTCTTGTTGGTGAATATTAATAATTTGTTGCTTTTTATTAACTGAGTGAAATGAAACATTTATAAATCAAAGAAAAAGAACTTAAAAGAATCTATGGCAAATCCCTTAAACTGTTTCATTAGTACAATTGTGGTAGGCAGAATATTGTCCTCTCAAAAGTGCCCCCATCTCATCCTTGAACCTGTGTGCATGTTATTTCACATGACAAAAGGAACTTTGCAGGTGTGATTAAGTTAAGGACCTTGTGAGGGAGAAAGTACACTACATTATTCAGATGCATCCAATGGCTCAGATTTTTTAAAGCAGAAGAGGAAGGAGAAGAAAAGCTGATAGCGATGTGCTATGACAAGAATTTGACTTTCCTTTACTGGTTTTAAAGATAGAGGAAAAAACCATAAGCCAAGGAATTTGAGGGGCCTTCTATGAACTGAAAAAAGCAGGAAAATAGATTCTACCCAAAAGCTTCCAGAAAAGAATCCAAGCCCACCAACACCTTGATTTTAAGTGTTGGACTGCTACACTACAGAAGTTTAGATCATATGTTTGTATTGTTTTAAACCACTAAGTTTGTGGTAACCTGTTAAAGGTTACAGCAGTAAGACGAAACAAACACAATTAAAGTAAGTAATAAGTAGGGCTTATTTATGCTAGTTTCTTAGTATACCACTGGAGATTTCTTTCCCAGAAATCTAAGTAAAAATAACACTGCATTAGGGAGGGTTGAAAACGGAATAATGCTTCTGAAGAGTAACTCACATGCCCCTCTTCATTGTAACCTGAATGTTGGAGGGCAGATGTTCTATTACAACATTTCTTATTTGAGTTGTGGAGAGGAGTACTTCCTATATTCTCTAATCAACATTTAAAAAGTAATATATTTTTCAAAATTGAGAACAAGATGAATAATAAATGTAAAGAGCACTTCACATTTCCAACTTGATCTCTTGCTAGAAAACATTTAAAATAGTTATGGGTAATGAAAATATCTAAGTCTTAATATAGAATGCCTCAGAGAAATTTGGAACAATTAGAATGCATGACGGATTTTTAAAATAAACCATGGAATTTTGAAATTGTGTATATTATTTTTTTTCATTACAAAGTTCCCTTGCTATTAGATTATGCTTCTCAGTGGCTGTTGTTATATGTTATCTGATAATTGATTAATTGTTTGATAGCTAAAAGAATTGGTTGGATTTTAAACGTAAAGACCATCGATGCTAGGAAGAAACTGCATCAACTAACAAGCAAAATAACCAGCTAATATCACAATGACAGGATCAAGTTCACACAAAACAATATTAACCTTAAATGTAAATGGACTAAAAGCTCCAATTAAAAGACACAGATTGGCAAATTGGATAAAGAGTCAAAACCCATCAGTTTGCTGTATTCAAGAGACCCATCTCACATGCAGACACACACATAGACTCAAAATAAAGGGATGGAGGATGATCTAGCAAGCAAATGGAGACCAAAAAAAAAAAGCAGGGGTTGCAATCCTAGTCTCTGATAAAGCAGACTTTAAACCAACAAAGATCAAAAGAGACAAAGAAGGCCATTACATAATGGTAAAGGGATCAATTCAACAGGAAGAGCTAACTATCCTAAATATATATGCACCCAATACAGGAGCACCCAGCTTCATAAAGCAAGTCCTTAGAGACTTACAAAGAGACTTAGACTCCCATACAATAATAATGGGAGACTTCAACACTCCACTGTCAACATTAGACAGATTGACGAGACAGAAAGTTAACAAGGATATCCAGGAATTGAACTCAACTCTGCACCAAGCAGACCTAATAGACATCTACAGAACTCTCCACCCCAAATCAACAGAATATACATTCTTCTCAGCACCACATCACACTTATTCCAAAATTGACCACATCGTTGGAAGTAAAGCACTCCTCAGCAAATGTACAAGAACAGAAATTATAACAAACTGTCTCTCAGACCACAGTGCAATCGAACTAGAACTCAGGACTAAGAAACTCAATCAAAACCGCTCAACTACATGGAAACTGAACAACGTGCTCCTGAATGACTACTGGGTACATAACGAAATGAAGGCAGAAATAAAGATGTTCTTTGAAACCAATGAGAACAAAGATACAACATACCAGAATCTCTGGGACACATTTAAAGCAGTGTGTAGAGGGAAATTTGTAGCACTAAATGCCCACAAGAGAAAGCTAGAAAGATCTAAAATTGACACCCTATCATCACAATTAAAAGAACTAGAGAAGCAAGAGCAAACACATTCGAAAGCTAGCAGAAGGCAAGAAATAACTAAGATCAGAGCAGAACTGAAGGAGATAGAGACACAAAATACCCTCCAAAAAAATCAATGAATCCAGAAGCTGGTTTTTTGAAAAGATCAACAAAATTGATAGACCGTTAGCAAGACTAATAAAGAAGAAAAGAGAAGAGAATCAAATAGACGCAATGAAAAATGATAAAGGGGATATCACCACCGACCCCACAGAGATACAAACTACCATCAGAGAATACTATAAATACCTCTATGCAAATAAACTAGAAAACCTAGAAGAAATGGATAATTTCCTGGACACTTACACTCTCCCAAGACTAAACCAGGAAGAAGTTGAATCCCTGAATAGAACAATAGTAGGCTCTGAAATTGAGGCAATAACTAATAGCCTACCAACCAAAAAAAGTCCAGGACCAGACTGATTCACAGCCGAATTCTACCAGAGGTACAAGGAGGAGCTGGTACCATTTCTTCTGAAACTATTCGAATCAATAGAAAAAGAGGGAATCCTCCCTAACTCATTTTAGGAGGCCAACATCATCCTGATACCAATGCCTGGCAGAGACACAACAAAAAAAGAGAATTTTAGACCAATATCCCTAATGAACATCGATGCAAAAATCCTCAATAAAATACTGGCAAACTGAATCCAGCAGCACATCAAAAAGCTTATCCAGCATTTCGTGGACGCTGGGTGAGCGAGAGCATTGGTGGGTGTTGGGTCGGAGGAAAGCAGGAAGACCCATCGGAGCGTGTGGATTTGAGCCGCTGCATTTCTTAACCCTAGATCTCGAAATGCATCGTGATTCCTGTCCATTGGACTGTAAGGTTTATGTAGGCAATCTTGGAAACAATGGCAACAAGACCGAATTGGAACGGGCTTTTGGCTACTATGGACCACTCCGAAGTGTGTGGGTTGCTAGAAACCCACCCGGCTTTGCTTTTGTTGAATTTGAAGATCCCCGAGATGCAGCTGATGCGGTCCGAGAGCTAGATGGAAGAACACTATGTGGCTGCCGTGTAAGAGTGGAACTGTCGAATGGTGAAAAAAGAAGTAGAAATCGTGGCCCACCTCCCTCTTGGGGTCGTCGCCCTCGAGATGATTATCGTAGGAGGAGTCCTCCACCTCGTCGCAGATCTCCACGAAGGAGAAGCTTCTCTCGCAGCCGAAGCAGGTCCCTTTCTAGAGATAGGAGAAGAGAGAGATCTCTGTCTCGGGAGAGAAATCACAAGCCGTCCCGATCCTTCTCTAGGTCTCGTAGCCGATCTAGGTCAAATGAAAGGAAATAGAAGACAGTTTGCAAGAGAAGTGGTGTACAGGAAATTACTTCATTTGACGGGAGTATGTACAGGAAATTCAAGTTTTGTTTGAGACTTCATAAGCTTGGTGCATTTTTAAGATGTTTTAGCTGTTCAAAATCTGTTTGTCTCTTGAAACAGTGACACAAAGGTGTGATTCTCTATGGTTTGAAATGGATCATATGAGGCATGTAATACCAAGAATTGTTACTTTACAATGTTCCCTTAAGCAAAATTGAATTTGCTTTGAACTTTAGTTATGCATAGACTGATAATAAACCTCTAAACCTGCCCAGCAGAAGTCTGATTTTTTTTTTTTTTAAATACAGAAACAACTGGCAAAAAAACGAAGATTTACTTTTTTTCCATAGCTGGGATATAGGATGCAGCTATAGTTGAATAAGCAGTCTTTAAAAACTGCTGTGAAACACAAGCCATCAGGTAAAAAGAAACGCTGAACTATTAAATTAGAGGTTTTTGAAAAATCCAACTTTCATCCTGGGCAGAGGTTGCCTAGTTGGTATAGAATTTGTTATTCAAGAAAGTTTACCTTTGCTTTAGGTCGTAAGTTCCTTATTTGATTGCTGTATATGGATACATGGCTGTTCGTGACATTCTGTATGTGCAAATTTGAGATTTCAAAAAATGTCCTGCAGTTTAAGGGTACATTGTAGAGCCGAACTTTGAGTTACTGTGCGAGATTTTTTTTTCATGCTGTCATTTGTAATATGTTTTGTGAGAATCCTTGGATTAAAGTTTGGTTACAAATTATTGTTTAACTTGAAAGCCTGTTTTTCCTTGCAAACTCAAATCTGTGAGCTTGGTACCAAGTCCAGGTATAACATTCCTATTGGAAGCCATACTTATATTTTCTTGTAAAGTGCTTTTGAATTAATAAAATATTAGCATAATGGTGTAAAAAAAAAAAAAAAAGCTTATCCACCATGATCAAGTGGGCTTCATCCCTGGGAAGCAAGGCTGTTTCAACAAATGCAAATCAATAAATGTAATGCAGCATATAAACAGAACCAAAGACAAAAACATCTCAATAGATGCAGAAAAGGCCTTTGACAAAATTCAACAGCCTTTCATGCTAAAAACGCTCAATAAATTCAGTACTGATGGAACGTATCTCAAAATATTGAGAGCTATTTATGACTAACCCACAGCCAATATCATACTGAATGGACAAAAACTGGAAGCATTCCCTTTGAAACGTGGCACAAGACAGGGATGCCCTCTCTCACCACTCCTATTCAACATAGTGTTGGAAGTTCTGCCTAGGGCAATCAGGCAAGAGAAAGAAATCAAGGGTATTCACTTAGGAAAAGAAGAAGACAAATTGTCCCTGTTTGCAGATGACATGATTGTATATTCAGAAAACCCCATTGTCTCAGCCCAAAATCTCCTTAAGCTGATAAGCAACTTCAGCAAAGTCTCAGGATACAAAATTAATGTGCAAAAATCACAAGCATTCTTATACATCAGTAACAGACAAACAGAGAGCCAAATCATGAATGAACTTCCATTCACAATTGCTTCAAAGAGAACAAAATACCCAGGAATCCAACTTACAAGGGATGTAAAGGACGTCTTCAAGGAGAACTACAAACCACTGCTCAGTGAAATAAGAGGACACAAACAAATGGAAGAACATACCATGCTCATGGATAGAAAGAATCAATATCATGAAAATGGCCATAATGACCAAGGTAATTTATAGATTCAATGCCATTCCCATCAAGCTAGCTACCAATGGCTTTTCTTCACAGAATTGGAAAAAACTGCTTTAAAGTTCATATGAAACCAAAAAAGAGTCCACATTGCCAAGACAATCCTAAGTCAAAAGAACAAAGCTGGAGGCATCACGCTACCTGACTTCAAACTATACTACAAGGCTACAGTAACCAAAACAGCATGGCACTGGTACCAAAACAGAGATATAGACCAATGGAACAGAACAGAGTCCTCAGAAATAATACCACACATCTACAGCCATCTGATCTTTGACAAACCTGAGAGAAACAAGAAATGGGGAAAGGATTCCCTATTTAATAAATGGTGCTGGGAAAATTGGCTAACCATAAGTAGAAAGCTGAAACTGGATCCTTTCCTTACTCCTTATACGAAAATTAATTCAAGATGAATTAGAAACTTAAATGTTAGACCTAAAATAATAAAAAACCCTAGAAGAAAACCTAGGGAATACCATTCAGGACATAGGCATGGGCAAGGACGTCATGTCTAAAACACCAAAAGCAATGGCAACAAAAGCCGAAATTGACCAATGGGATCTAATTAAACTAAAGAGCTTCTGCACAGCAAAAGAAACTACCATCAGAGTGAACAGGCCACCTACAGAATGGGAGAAAATTTTTGCAATCTACTCATCTGACAAAGGGCTAATATCCAGAACCTACAAAGAACTCAAATTTACAAGAAAAAAACAACCCCATCAAAAAGTGGGCAAAGGATATGAACAGACATTTCTCAAAAGAAGACATACATACAGCCAACAGATACATGAAAAAATGCTCATCATCACTGGCCATCAGAGAAATGCAAATCAAAACCACAATGAGATACCATCTCACACCAGTTAGAATGGCAATCATGGATTAAGAAAATGTGGCACATATACACCATGGAATACTATGCAGCCATAAAAAAGGATGAGTTTGTGTCCTTTGTAGGGACATGGATGCAGCTGGAAACCATCATTCTTAGCAAACTATCACAAGAACAGAAAACCAAACACCATATGTTCTCACTCATAGGTGGGAATTGAACAATGAGATCACTTGGACTCCGGAAGGGGAACATCACACACCGGGGCCTATCATGGGGAGGGGGGAGGGGGGAGGGATTGCATTGGGAGTTATACCTGATGTAAATGATGAGTTGATGGGTGCTGACGAGTTGAGGGGTGCAGCACAGCAACATGGCACAAGTATACATATGTAAAAAACCTGCACGTTATGCACATGTACCCTAGAACTTAAAGTATAATAATAATAATAATAATAATAATAAAAGAATGACAATCATTAAAAAGTCAGGAAACAACAAGTGCTGGAGAGGATGGGGAGAAATAGGAACACTTTTACACTGTTGGTGGGACTGTAAACTAGTTCAACCATTGTGGAAAACAGTGTGGTGATTCCTCAAGGATCTAGAACTAGAAATACCATATGACCCAGCCATCCCATTACTGGGTATACCCAAAGGATTATAAATCATGCTGCTATAAAGACATATGCACACGTATGTTTATTGTGGCACTATTCACAATAGCAAAGACCAAATGTCCATCAGTGACAGACTGGATTAAGAAAATGTGGCACATATACACCATGGAATACTATGCAGCCAAAAAAAGGGATGAGTTCGTGTCCTTTGTAGGGACATGGATGCAGCTGGAAACCATCATTCTCAGCAAACTATCGCAAGAACAGAAAACCAAACAGTGCATGTTCTCACTCATAGGTGGGAATTGATCAATGAGATCACTTGGACTCTGGAAGGGGAACATCACACACTGGGGCCTGTTATGGGGAGGGGGGAGGCGGGAGGGATGGCATTGGTAGTTATACCTGATGTAAATGATGAGTTGATGGGTGCTGACGAGTTGATGGGTGCAGCACACCAACATGGTACAATTATGCATGTGTAACAAACCTGCACGTTGTGCACATGTACCCTAGAACTTAAAGTATAATAATAATAAAAAAAGAATCGATTGGATTTTTACATGGAAAATGGCATACGATGTCTCAGTTTTCAAACATATTTTCTAAGGATCCCCTGGTATTGGAATGAATAATTTTTTTAAAAAAAACAAGCAAATGCACAAAAAAGCAAGTATGTGTGTGATATATTATGAAAGAAAACCAAATTATAAATATTGAACAGTATGTAAGTGACAACAGTTACTAAAAATGTAAAAACTAAGGAGATGGGCAAGATATTGAACTGAATATAACCAACGAGGTGTCTCTGAAATATATAAAACAAAATACATGGACTATGCACATATCCATAGTCCACAAAGCTTTAATATACCTCTTTCAGGCTATCAAACAACTAATCAATTACCAGATAATGTATAACAACGTCACTAAAAAGCATATTCTAATAGCAAAGGAACTTTATAATGAATAAAAGAATATACATAATTTTCAAAATTCCATGGGTTATTTTAAAAATCAGTCATGCATTAGATCATGCTGAAAATAATTATAGATACCAAAAAATCTGAAAATAAACATGTCTTCCCACAACATAATAAATGTGGATATTAACTTAAAACATGTTGTCCCTGAAAATTCATCTGCAAAAAAAAAGAAATGCTTTATTTTTAAATACATTTAAACTGGGGGAGGGGTGAAGTCTTGAGTTTTTGCATGTGACTGAAGTTAAGTTGTTATAAGTATACAATAATTTATTTTAACTATAAGATATTTTATGTAAGCCTTATGATAACCACAAAGCAAAAAACTATGGCAGGTGCACAAATGAGAAAGGAATTAAAACATAACACAAAAGAAAATCACCAAATCACAAGAATAAACAACAAAAGAAGAAGAAAAGAACAAAGATCTACAAAACAACCAAAAAACAACTAAAAAAATGGCATTAGTAAATTCTTGTCTATAAATAGTTACTTTGAATATAAATGGATTAGATTTTTGAATCAGACGACACAGAATGGCTGAATGGATTTTTTAAAAAGATTAAATTATATGCTGTATCCAGGAGACTAGCTTTAGCTTTAAGGACCCACATAGGCTGAAAGTAAAGGAATAGAAGACTGTATTTCATGCAAATAGTAACCAAAATAGAACAGGGACAGCTATATTAATAACAGATAAAGTAGACTTCAAGTCGCAAACAGTCACAAGAAACAACAAAATACATTGCTTAATGAAAATGGTACAATTCATCAAGAATACATAACAGTTATAAATGCATCCAATACTGAAGTATCTAAGTTTATAAGGTGAATATTAACAGACATTAAAGGAGAAATAGATGGCAATACAATAATGGGAGATGATTTTACTACTCCACTGTCAACAATGGACATATCAACCAGACAGAAAATTAACAGGAAAGTACTGGAAGAGTTACTTTAAAAGAGTAATATGAGTATTCCAGTCCTGAAATTAGGAAAATATAACATAAGCATAAAAAGGTAGTAATTCTAATCAATAATAGCAAATGCAAACATTTATAATCTGTGAAATATTAATGCAATATTGTGCAGAAACAGTTAACCTACCAGCCCTGAAGTTGCCATCTTTAGAAAGACCTGCTTCTAAGGTTGGCCTTCAGTTCAGGTCTGAGAATTTGAAGTTTTAAATGTTCCATAGGTGACAATGTTGGTTTGCTTTCCTAGACTGTGATGTTGAACAATTTAATTTATAGTGGATGCCTGCTTCCTTTTGGGATTCTAGAATTTTGGTTATTGTGATTGATCATTTAAGCACATGATCAGGATGCCTATATGACCATACTGAGATAAAAATGCTGAGTCTCAAATGGGCTTCCCTAGGCAGAAACGTTACATGCAATATTGCCTTTTTACTAATAGAGAAGGGAACATGCTTATTGTACTTTCTCTTACACTGGGTAGATGAAATTTGTGTAAGGAATTCTCCGGACTTTATCGGATATGTATTTTTCCTTTACTAATCCAGGTGTCTTTACTAATCCAATTCTTGCTGTGCTGTTGTAATAAATCTTACATGTGAATGAAACTGTCTTCTAAGTCCTATAAATGTTTCTGGGTAATCATCACATATGTGTGTGGTGTTGGGAGCCCTGGAAACATTGATGAATTAACATTGGCATAGTTATTTATGTAAAACTAAAGATGTATGTAGGGAGCATTTAGGAATGATAAAGA